CGGGGCAGGGAGAGTAGAACAGCTCTTACAGCTTCCCACAGGCAGCACATCCTGCGCGGTCCCACCTTTGTGGCCTTTTCCCTGCTCCTGCCCCAGCAGTGCAGGATGGAAGCCAAACATTGTGTCTCAGTAAACACGCTCCTCTGTGTGTGTGTACAGGGCGTTGATGCCAGGTGTTTACAAGCATTTCTCTATCGGCAGGATCGTTATCCACTCACAGGAGAAAGAAAACTCGGATCCAGATTATATTCCCATCAACAGCCGCTTTAAATGCGTACAAGGTACTGACTGCTGGGGGACAAGGTTGGAATCCACTGCTGTTCATCCACAAAACCTAAATTTAGTGGTGTTTCTTGACCTGCCTCCTGAGCAGATGTGGATTGAATCCTTCCCTGTGAAACAGCATTGGTAGAATCCCCTTGGGTCTCATCCGAATTGTCATTCCCTGTAAGCATGCGTTGCCTGGTTCTGATGGGTTTGGCATCACATTTGGTGTGTGCTGGTATCTGTCTGTCAGTCTGTCTTCTCAGTCATGGCAAGAGTTGAGAGTGTTCACCCGATCCCTGTCTGTTTAGATCAAAACTTCAGTAAGATACGACAGGCTCTCAGCTTCCAACAGCCACCCGTGGGATGAGGAAGAGCTTTAGGCCTTGTCTTGGAAATACTTAAATAGCATCTGGGCAAATCCTTGTCAGGAATAAAAGCACTTTTTCCCAGATTGACTCATGCCCTGTTGTGTAGCTCAGGTTGATTCTGGTCTTGGGTTTGCTCTGTAGAGAAGCTGTTAGGTTGGCCTTTCTCAAAGTAGCTGCACTGATAGGGGACATTCATGATAGGCTCTGCATGTTGGGAATCTCCCTGGGGCACTTGTTGGGAGGTGACTGTCCAGGTGTGGCTGTTCTCTCTGCCAGAGGCATTAGGAACGTATGGATGTAACAGTGGGAGAGCTGCTTGTTAGCCTCTGTCAGGACTCGTGTGGCTGGTAGCAGGCAGTGTGATTGAGCCCTCAGTTACTGCAGTATCCAGCATGAGCTCTCTTGATCCTGTTTTTCTCTTTTCCAGAGGCAGAAGAAACTCTGCTGATTGATATAGCTACAAACAGTAAGTTTTATAAGGGCAGTGATGTGGCTAAAGCTCCTGTCAGGGAACAAGCTGCCTGGTGCTTGTGTCACCTTCCCAGTCTTCCCCCAGGCTCTGTGTTTGTGCTCTGCTCAAGCAGTGATTGTTTTCCTTCTGATGCTGTCGTCTGGCTCTGTCAGTTGTGACAGACATGGTCTGAAACACAGATGATTGAAACATTTGTAATTTTGATGTTGCTTTTGGAGCTCTTCTCTGTGAGATTGCAACAGGGAGAAGGATTCTTTAAGCCAGGAGAACATGCTGAGGATACCCCAAATAGGGTGGGGGGATTTCAGAAGTGCAGGGAAAGTGTCATAGGCGAAGATTTCCACCAGAAATTACTGCTGGGAGTTACTGAGCTCCCAGGGTACCTGGAAAGCCTGGTGACTCTGTGTGAGCCAGCCTGGGCTGACTGTGAGTCTGTTTGTGCCTGAAGCGGGCTGCAAGGTCCGGATACAAGGGGACGAAACACCGGAGCGGCTCTTCGAGATCCCTGATGAGGAGCACTGCTTGGGATTCCTATCGGAAGTACAGAGCATCCAGGAAGGTGAGCACAACTGCACCTTTGTGCGTGAAATCCTCTGACTGCCGGCAGTTTCTGACAGAGATGTTCTTTTTCCAGCCCACCTGAAAGCTTCTCTTCCTGAACCTAAGGACTCAGCCATCTGGCATCAGGTGGAGATGAATTTCCCAGGACAATCACAGGCCTCTTCTTCAGGTACAGTCATCTCTGCTCCAGGGCCTGTGCAGTGGAGGGGAGCTCAGGGAGGGAGCTGGGTCTGATCCTGCCCTTAGCAGCTTGGCCTCTGCTCCCTTTCCTCCCTTCACATCACCTGCACAAAATAAACCATCTGGGTCCTTGGATTCTGCTCCCAGGACCATTCATTCCTTCCTGAGTGGTCTCTTTTGCCTTGGTTTTTATATGTTAAGCTCCCTCCTGCCTTGGCTTGTGGTTAGTGCCCCTTTCTCCCATTCTCTGAATCACACGGTTTGTATGTTCCCACTGTCATTGGGTTTTTAGCCTTTTGTAAAGTTATATTTTTTCCTTCTTGATCTGAGCTTTTTCAGGTTGTTTTCTTTAGGCATTGTGCTTGGATTTTTTATTACAGGAGCTCTAGGTTTTGAGGATGACTTCAATACTCTGAGCCTGGAAGAGAGAAGGAACATGCAAAATCACCAAACAGGATCTCGCCGGGAGCCTCCACCTCCTCCTGTTCCTCAGAACAGGCAGTAAGTAACACAAGGGATCTGTTCCCTTTTTCACTTCTCTTCCTAGACAGCAGAACCAGTCCTAGTGCTGCTCTTGCCTCCTTCCTAGATTTCACCGAGAGAGAGAAGGTACATCGAGAGATCAACCCAAAGTGACCAACACGATGCGCAAGATGTTTTCACCCAACACACAGTCAGGGCAGAGAGAGAGGCTCATCAAACACGTGCTGGTCTGTAAAAGGTCTCTGTTCTGAGGTTCAGGTGAGGAAGGGAAGGGACAGAGCTATGGGATGTGGAGTGTCTGCTGTGAGCTTGGATCTCACCCAGGTTTAGTCTCTGGCACCTGCTGATGGGTGGCATCCTGAGTGGCCAACAAGGATGGTGCAGCCCAAAGGTCACCAGGTGCCTGCTGCTCCTTTTGTGTTTTCTGTGTGTGTCAGATCACCCTCAATAAGGCTGGAGCAATTGGGCAGGAAGGCAGAGCTATGGGATGTGGAGTGTCTGCTGTGAGCTTGGATCTCACCCAGGTTTAGTCTCTGGCACCTGCTGATGGGTGGCATCCTGAGTGGCCAACAAGGATGGTGCAGCCCAAAGGTCACCAGGTGCCTGCTGCTCCTTTTGTGTTTTCTGTGTGTGTCAGATCACCCTCAATAAGGCTGGAGCAATTGGGCAGGAAGGGTGAAGGCAGATATTCCGTCACACTGTCCTGGTGTTGCCCCACATGACATGGTGTTAAAAGAGCCAGATATTTGCTGGTGGAATGTCTTAATCCGAGAGGAGTGTCACTGTGAGTGAGCCAAACTTGGCAGAATTTTTGAGGAGCAGCTGAGGGAGCTGGGGGGCTCAGCCTGGAGAAAAGGAGGCTTGGGGAGGACTTTTCACTCTCTACAACTCTCTGACAGGAGGTTGGAGTTGAGGGAGGGGGTTAGCCTCTTCTCTCAGGGAACAAGTGACAAGAGAAGAGGACACAGCCTCAGGCTGTGTCAGGGCAGGTTCAGGTTTGACATCAGGAAGAATTTCTTCATGGAAAGGGTTGTTAAGCATTGGAAGGGGCTGCTCAGGGAGGTAGTGGAGTCACTGTCCCTTGGAGGTGTTCAAGAAACAATTGGACATGGCACTTAGTGCTCTGCTCTAGTTGACAAAGTGGTGATTGGTCACAGGTTGGACTTCATGATCTTAGAGGTCTTTTGTAACCCAAATGATTCTGTGATTATTTTGGTTCCCCCATGGCTGGCACGGCCTCATGCTGGGACCATTCACATGTATTTCTTCTTATGTTGCTGCCGTGGTTTTCATTGTGTTTTCTAACAGTTAACCTGCTTTTGTGTTGTAGGTTTTTTGTGGGAACATGGAATGTGAACGGGCAGTCTCCTGACAGCAGCTTGGAGCCATGGCTTGTGTGTGACATGGAGCCTCCAGACTTCTACTGCATCGGGTGAGTTGCAGTGGTCTGGATTTACTGACAAGGCTGATACCTTGGTGCTCTTGATGGGATCCTGGAGGGCTGTGTTTGGGTTAGGTTCCTGTTGTGTTCTCAGAGGCTGCATAGATCTGAGCTGTGTCTCACAAGAGCTGTTTGAGGACAAAGAGCCATGGAGAGGCAGAAAATTGGGTTATATGGGGCTGGCATGACATAAAACAGATTTTCCTGGAGGCATCTGCAGAGCTCTCTGATTGTCCTCTGCCTAAAGTGCTGCGTCCCAGGGTGAGGGTTGCTGGGGTGTTTTGGTTAGAGTCTCAGGGGCACTGTGGGGAAATGATGCTGCTTTATTTAGCAAGTGGCCATAAGGAGCTGCTCCTCCAAGTGCTGTTGCTGGAGGTTTCACATTTCTGTAGGAAGAGGTGGATGTGCAGGAGGACTGGAGGTGCTAAAGCTCTTAAGTTTCCAGGTTCCAGGAACTGGACCTCAGCACGGAAGCTTTTTTCTACCTTGATTCAACGAAGGAGCAGGAGTGGCTGGCTGCTGTGGAGAGGGCCCTGCACCCTCAGGCCAAGTACAAGAAAGTGAGTTCTGCTCAGCAGCCTGGGGTCTTGTCATAGAGCTGGCATGATGGGAAGGAAAAGGGAAAGGGGCTCCCCCCTTCCTCACCTGCCCAAGGAACAGGGATTGGAGAAACCAAGGATGGTACTGGGCACATGTGTACCTGGACATGTGTCAAGTGTGCCAGGTTAAATCTGGAGAGTCTGTTTCTGCCCCACAGTTGCAGGGGGAGATTGTGCTTTGAAGTAGAAATTCCATATAGAAGGTAGGTGCCAGGGAAGCAGTGGACTCAGTTCTCTACCTTTGTTACCCTCTCACCCTGTAGTATTGAAGCCAAGTGTGTCCTGAGCTGGTAAATTAAATGAATAGCTTTTCCCCAAAGGAATGGAACAATGAAGTGAAATCTTCAGAGGCTGCTGCCTTGGGACAGAATTGCTTCAACTATGGCAGCAGAACTTTGTTCTGGCTGGTTTAGATCAAGCTGTTGGGTTTATCTCTGCTGTAACAAACCTTTCTGCTGCAGGGACCAGTCTTAAATACATTAACAAGTTTGCCCTTTACTCCTTAGCCCATGTGTTCACTGTCACACCCCTTTTCTGCCTGCTCTGAGCTGAACTCAGGGGCAGGTGTTACAGGGAGTGAAGCAGGAAACAGAGCACCTTGCTGATCTGAGACCTGTCTGGGAGAGCCAGGAGTCATGGCCTGAACTGCAGAGAGGCTTCTGCCCCCTCTCTTGGCTTTACTTGAGTTTTGGATTACTTTCTTCCACCCTGGTGTGAGGGAGAGCACAGGATATGCCTGCAGTAGGGGGAAGTGGCTTAAACTGTAGATAAGACTTGTGGTTGCTTGTAAATTCCGCTCCTGCAGAACAGGCTGAGACCTTGGGCTCTCAGCTTCTTCCCTCACTGCATAGGCTTAAACCCAACAGGTCTGGATGTCCTTATGCTTCAAAGCATGTAGACTGCACTCAAGAAGGTGAGGCCTTGTTGCTGGTTTCGGAGCGCTGACCACACTGTTTTGGAGGTGTAGGGAGGTGATGGACTGGGTGGTGTTTTGGCTTATCGTGTGTCAAAAATCATCAGCAGACCCAAGAGCCCTGCTGGACAGGGCACGTTAGCATGGTGTTACCTCCTGTGGGCTGAGCTCTGCAGCAGAGCTCCTCATATCCAGGGAGAGGCCCTTTGCAGTAGGGAGCAAGTGTTTCCTGAAAGCAGTTGGTCTGTATAGCGCAGAGATGCCTTTTGATAGCCCATACATCAGGCACATCTGCCTCGGGGAAATGAGAACATTTCTATCCATTTCCTCTGCACCTGCCACCGACTCCATTGGAGTTCAGAGTAAGCCAGGGTGAGCCCTGACTCCCAGCTGCACCTGCAGCCTCAGGACAGACACAGCCCTGCCCCAGGCCTAGCTGGAGCACTCGGGTTCTTCTGTGGTTGTTGTGCATAGCAAAGGCTGAGACCTCAGCAACAGACCAGCTGTGTATTTATTCAGTTTCTTTCACCTTACCCTGTTGTAGGGAAGCACTGGAGTGGGGAATGCAGTGAGCTCAACACAGCTGATGGCTGTTGGAGAGTGACAGATTAACCCCCAGAATCTTGCTTGTGGGACAGGAGGTCCTTTGGGTAGTGTTGCCATTAGGGATTCTGTTAAGTACAGAATATGATGGAATGGAGAGTGAGAGCCGGCAGATCAGAACTGCATTCCCACCGCCTCTCTGGGAACTCAGGATCCTGTTTATTTTTGCAGGTGCAAATGGTCCGCCTGGTTGGGATGATGTTGCTCGTATTTGCTAAGAAGGATCATCTGAGCAATATCAGAGAGATCGTGACGGAGTCTGTGGGCACAGGAGTCATGGGAAAGATGGTGAGTCATCAAGGCCAGCTTGTTGCTTCCCTATATCCATGCAAGAAGCAGCACGGTCTGGTTTCATTCACCTGTGCCATCCCTGTCCCCTCCCCATGCCTCACCTGCTCTGACCCCACTGGTACCTGCTGTCCCCAGGGCAACAAGGGTGGTGTGGCCATCAGGTTTGTGTTCCACAACACCACCTTCTGCGTTGTCAACTCCCACCTGGCTGCCCACGTGGAGGACTTTGAGCGCCGAAACCAGGATTATAAGGACATCTGTGCACGGATGAGCTTTGTGACCCCCGATGACAGCCTACCTCAGCTCAACATCATGAAGCATGAGTGAGTTGTGTTGATGAAAGCCCTTTTGAGGTGGTGTTGAGTAACCCAAATCAAGTTTTAATTGCAGCAGCATGAGGTTTCTGGAAGTGCCAAGGGCTGTGGTGTGCTGCGGCTCCTGCAGTCAAACTGTGACCTTCTCCTCACTGTCCCCAATGTTCCTCTTCTTGCATTTGAGTATAACTCTTTCTTCTCAGCAGGCTTAAACAGAATACAAATGATTGGTGCATCTGTAGTTAATATTTGAACCATTTAAAAACCAAACATAAAATGTAGAGTGGATTAGTATGGAAAAAAAACTTCAAATATTAGATTATCCTTGATAATCCACTAAAGAAAATGTTGAGGTTTGATTATAAACAGGAAGAGCTTTGGTACTAGGGAGGGGTTTAAATTTTAATCTTTAAATGAAACCTTTATGGAGTAAAGAGTGAGTCCCATGAGTGTTTCTTGAGCGGCTGGTAAGGAGTAGGCTATGGGTCAATTTGAAAGCCTGGAGAGGAGCAGGGTGGGAGTGGTGCGGCTGAGGTGTGGCTGATGTCTGAGATGGGAAACAACACCCTGAAGGTTGTACAAACTCTACTCCTGCCAATTCTGTGTCAGTCAGTCTGAGCTGGATAGGTGGTATAGCTCTGGCTGAACAAAAGGCAGTGAAAAACCAACAGGTAAAACCAGGGCATCACATGAGGGCTGAGCCTGCAGATACAGATGCCTCACCTGCTTGGCTGGCTGACAGGCAGGCTCTGCATAACGAGCTCCACCACTGGGCTCTTCTGATCATGGAATACCAGATGGATTTTATGTGAAGCTTGGTGGGATACACTGATTTCACTTCATTAGAGAGTCAGTGATGTTCTCCCACTGAACTAAGTCTTCAGTCTTTGGAGGATTCCAAAGGAGATGGACTTAGTTCTGTAGGACCTGCTGCCACTAGAAATTTCTGCTGTTGGGCTCGATCTTCTGTGTCTCCTTCTGTCTTCCACATATCTCAGCCTTAATTACCAGCAACCAAGCAACTGTTGCTGGTTGCTTTGCCCCTTCTTTCCTGTGTGGCCTGGGATACTCACTGCTGGCTCTTCCTTTCCTTTCCTTTACCCAGAGAAGCCATGGCTACCCCATCCCTGGAAGTGTTCAAGGCCAGGTTGGTCAGGGCTTGGAGCAACCTGGTCTAGTGAAAGGTGTCCCTGTCCATGGAATGAGATGGGCTTTAAAGTACCTTCCAAACCAAACCATTCTGGAATTCTCTGTGTCTTTGTTTCTAGTGTTGTCATCTGGCTGGGAGATCTGAACTACAGGCTGTGTCTGCCAGATGCCAGTGAGGTGAAGAGTCTCATCAGCAAGAACGAGCTGCAGAAGCTGCTGACATATGACCAGGTCAGAGAACTCACTCACACTTGTCCTGTGCCTGTGAGGTCATCTTGGTGTAGGATGTGCCTGTGCTTGAGAGGAACTGGCAGACACAGAGCTGGGGCAGGGTCTGGACCACAAAGAGTGGCTGAGGGAGCTGGGGGTCTCAGCCTGGAGAAAAGGAGACTCGGGGGACCTTCTCACTCTCTACAACTCCCTCACAGGAGGGCGAAGCCAGGTGAAGGTCAGGCTCTGCTCCCAGGGAACAAGTGACAGGACAAGAAGAAATGGCTTCAAGTGGTGCCAGGGGAGGTTTAGGTTAGATATTAGAGAAAATGTCGTCATGCAAGGGGCTGTCCAGCCCTTGCACAGGCTGGTGGTAGTGGTGCACAGTGGTGGAGTCACCAGCCCTGGGGGGATTTAACAGACATGTAGATGGTGGCACCTGGGGACATGGTTAGTGGTGACCTTGGCAGTGCTGGGGGAGCAGTTGGACTCAATGATCTTGGAGGGCTTTTCCAACCTAAATAATTCTGTGACATTCTGCGATAAGGACCTATAAACATAGACACTGGACCCTGACAGAGCTCTGGGTGTGCTGGTGGCAACAATCCCCCAAACAATACCAGACTGTCCGTACTTGGGTAACTGGGTGACTCAGGCAGTTACTGTGGAAGTGTTTGTGCCTCAGTGGAGTTGTTCTCTGTTATGAACAAACTACAAGCTGAACACAGGAATTTGTAACAGCAACAAAAGCTGCTGTGATCAGTGTTGTAGAAGAAGTATTGATTTGTAGGGCAAATCTGCTCAGCCTGTTTGACCAGAATTCTGTCCTGTCGCCTTCCCCACTCGACACTTCTCTGCAGCACACTGAAACCTGAGGCAGGTGCCTTTCAGGTGAAGGATTGCACTTGTGCAACACGGGCAGCAATGGTGTAATATCATTTCTGACGCGGTTCAACAGTAAATCTGATTGATTCTGCTCTAGAGCTCATTTCTGCCATACTATGGAGCTTTGTGCAGGAAACACCTGTAGCTTATGTTTTAGTGAGGAAAACAGCTAGGAGATTTTTCAGAAGAGGAAAAGAGAACAGGAAGGTTGTCAGTCAAGTGCAGTCCTGGAGGCTCTTGCTAAAATGATTGGCAGGGAAGGAGCAATGATGGTGTTCTTTACCCTGAAAACTAATGAAGGCATTTAGCACAAGTGGAGCAATTAATATTTCCCTTAACTCTTGTTTGATGCTGCCTGCATAGTCTGGTGAGCAGCACCATGCCCATTTGTACTCAGCCTGTTTGGGAAACATTCCCCTGATGGGTTGAATTTTTACTTCTGTTAAAGGTGTGTGGTCTGAGAGGCAGTTTGGGGGTGTCTGTGAGTCCTGTGGCTGCAGGTTGTGGTTGCTCTGTAGATATGCTCTTTGACACTGCTGTGTGGGGAAGGGTTTCTGGGTTTTGGGTTTCTTCTTTTTAAAGCTTTCTTTTTCTGCTTTAGCTGAATATTCAGCGCACCCAGAAGAAAGCATTTGCAGATTTCATCGAGGGAGATATTAAATTCATCCCCACGTATAAATATGACTCTAAAACAGATCGCTGGGACTCCAGGTACATCGGCTGCCACTGGGCCTATTTACCTATTACATATAAAGCATTTTCTCACAAATCTTCATTTCCTGCTGCCTAGAGCTGGGAATACCTGTCAGTGTTATGTTTGCCCTCCTGCCTTTCCCCTAGTTTATGCAATAAGCAGCCCCTCTGTACATTGACCAGGTAGATCCCTTAAACCTGCCTATCCCTCTGGATATGAAGGCAGGTGAAGCATGAGCTCAGGTGACCCTGCACTGGAGGCTTTTTCTGCGACCAGGGACAGGCGAACAGTGTAAAAAGGAATAGAAAAGATAAGGAAACAGGCTCTCTGAGTCACCCTGTCCCCTGACTTGCACACCCACGGGGTGGCTGCGCTGTGATAGCAGCCGTAGTTTCCCCCAGACATGGCTGCATCTGCTGCAGGAGCTGCTCCAAAGGGAGAAACTCCCAAGAAGGAGTTTTAAACCATGTAGTGATTGGATTTGACTCTGCCTGTGTTTATGAATCAGCACAGTAGTTAATCTGAAGAAGGATAACCCAGAATTCAGGCTTCAGAACATAATAGTGATGACTGAGTAGACTTTCTGTAGTGGAAATAGTAAGGGATGATCAGACTGTGGCCAGAAAGATCCGGCAGCAAAAGAAAGTTGTGCAGCTTGGGTCACAGCACACATGGCTTCAGGCTTTGGAAACAGGCTTGATTGAGGTTATTTTGTTTCCTGATTCTGGAAAAAACAGGAGTTTTACCTGCCGTATTGGGCAAAGGGAAGAGAGCAGAAGAAGTACGATAGACTTCAAGCTGGGGGAAACGATAGGAGTTCATCCCATCCCTGTTGCGATGGTGGGGGTGGAGGGAGCTGCCTGGCTGGGAAGAGGAACAGCTTGGATGGTTTGTTGGGATTGTTGGACTTCTCTGCTAACATGGTTTTCTTTGTAGTGGGAAGTGTCGCGTGCCAGCGTGGTGTGATCGGATCCTTTGGAGAGGAGGGAATGTCAATCAACTCCGGTATGGCAGTCACATGGACCTGAAGACCAGTGACCACAAGCCTGTCAGTGCACTTTTCTGCATTGGGGTGAGTTTGTTTATATGCTGGGGCAGGATCCCAGACTAGGCTGAGTCTACTTAAAGTCGAGCCTTTCTCCTCTTCCTCAGGAGAATCATGAGGATTGCCACAGGACGCCAATGCTGTCCCACAGAGATAGGTCCCAGTGATCTCCCAGTGGTGTGGCCAGTGGCCGGACAGACCCTGGTAACATCTGCAGGGGTGGACTATGCCCAGAGTTGCAGGTGCAGCTTGGGAGTATACCCGGGCATGTGAACTCTCTCAGCCTTTCTGCTGCTCAAGCAAGTGCTTAGAGAAATAATTTACTCCTGCACTTTGCCCATGACCAAGAGAGTTCCTATGAAGCTGGTCAGAAGCTTTGCTGAGTGTTTTCTGGTCTCCCACAGGTGAAAGTTGTGGATGAGCAGAAGTATCGGAAGCTGTTTGAAGACATTGTTCGTTTAATGGACAAGATGGAGAATGACTTTCTTCCCTCACTGGAGCTGAGCAAGAGAGAGGTGAGGATGAAACCAGAATCACTGTCACTTCCCAAACACAGCAGCCTTAGAAGTACCAGAACTACTTTTAAAGACTTTCATTCAGTAAACTGGATTATAGGAAATTGAGCTCTCTCCCTTACCTTATGATCAGGAATGGATTTAGAAAGGACTTGTTGTCTTGGCTCCTTGGCAGGGCTTTTGTGAGGAATTGTGCATTGGGTAGTCTCCTCTTAGCCATGGGGAGCCACTGCAGAGTCTGGAGGAGGCCAGCTGTGTGCCCTGTCATGGCCACTAACATCATTTGTGTTTTCTCTTTGCACTGCAGTTTGAGTTTGAGAATGTGAAGTTCCGTCAGCTGCAGAAGCAGAAGTTCCAGATCACCAATAATGGGCAGGTCACCTGTCACTTCTCCTTCATCCCAAAGCTCAGTGATAAACACTACTGCAAGCCATGGCTTCGGGCTGAGCCCTGTGAAGGTTACCTGGAGCCAGGTGAGTTGTGTGCTGGTGTAGACCCACACCCCATCTCTGTTCAATCTCTCCCATCTTTCCTGTGTTCCATCTTTCTTGCCATCAGTCTTGTCTGTTTGTCTTCTCTGTTACGGTCATTGTCCCTGCCACTGTATCTTTGTCCTTGTCATCCATTTTGGAGAGTGTCCACATGTTTGAGAGCTCCTGTGTGTTGCAGATGAGAGCATGGAAATCTCCCTGGACGTGTATGTCAGCAAAGACTCGGTCACCCTCTTGAATTCCGGCGAGGATAAAATTGAGGATATTCTTGTCCTGCACTTAGACCGAGGGAAGGACTACTTTCTGACCATCAGTGGGACCTACCTGCCCAGCTGCTTTGGCACCTCTCTCGAGGCCTTGTGCCGAATGAGGCGACCGATCCGAGAAGTCCCAGTCACCAAACTCATAGACCTGGTGAGTAGCAGCATTCTGGAGCAGCTCTCTTAGAGAGACCTGATTCCCTTCTGATTACTCCCAAAAGCAGGAGTAGTTCCTGCAGCTTGGGTCAGCTGTGCTGGGTCTGAGCTGAGTGACTTTTCACAGACCTTGAGGTGCTGTATTATCCTTCCCCTTTACCACAGCTGATGACTTTTGACAGCCTGTACTTTATCCCTTATTTCTAAGTAGTCTCTAAGTACTGTTCGATGGGACAAAAAATGTGGTCCCAGCACCATGTGTTGGTGTTACTGCTGCTGGCAGGCTCAGCTGGGTGCCGCTGCTGTGTCATAAGAGGTGTGATTGAGGTCCTCTCCTCTGATGCACTGGGGCTTCTTCTGCTGTGCCAAGGGCTCCAGGAGCCTTTTCCTTCCAGACACATTCCCACTGCTCAGAGGAAGGAGCAAGCAGAAGCAGGAGGACTGAAGGAAGGACTGTGCTGTTGGGTGTGGTGTGCTGATGGGTACAGCTCAGCAAATAAGCAGTGTCACAGCCTCTCTGACCAGTTCCTCCCACATCAAACACAGTGAAAGAGAACTCCTCCGATGAGGGAGAACTTCTTGTTGAGGGATAACTCATCACTGAGAGATCTCATCTCCCCAGCCTTCACTGTCCCCCAGCATCAATATTTCTCTTCCTGAAGCCCATTGTGTGTATGTCAGGGGGTGCCCTTTTGTCCTTTGGATATTTCTCATGGCCATTTCTGGAATTAAGCTCTGTTTTGGGATCTAATTCTGATTTCTAGGCTAGTTTCCTCTCTCCTTGTGGCCTTAGCTGGCCATGCTCCAGTGAGGTGCAGCAGGTCCTGAGTTCCAGCCCATGTTCCCATTCTTGTTCAGCCAAGAAAGCGATTTCTTCCTGTTCACCTGAAAGCTCAGCCTTGTTGTTTTGGTCTCTGTGCTATGTGATACCTTTCCTCTCCTCTCTTATCTCACAGTCTCACCCTTACATGAGTTTTTTTGTCCAGTGAGCTGCTGCTTTTCCACCTCTGTAGATTTGTCAGCTTCCACTCCCATTGCTTCCACTTTTCTTCTTCCCTTCACCAGTTGCCCCATGCCTCTTGCTGCTTCTTCCAGTTGCCATGTTTTGTTGTAGATCTCTATTTTTCTCACAATCCCAACATTCAATCATTTTTATAGCAGAATTTTGACTTTGTAACATGACCAGGCTAAGCAGGATCCAGGTGGCAAGATACAGTGTTTGCCTCTCAACTCAAGCAGCTGATCCAGGCCTGGGACTCCTCAGACTTTTGAGGATACGATGGAAAGTCAGTCTTGTTCTAGAAATGGGTCTGGAGCATTTCCTCAGGCTTGGTGGCTTTTCCACCTGCTTTTTCCTGCTCAGCACTGACTTCTTGCTTGTTAGAGAAGAACTCAGGCCCAGACTCTTAGCTCTGTCCTCATAGACACATACTTTTACATTTCTGAGAGTACTTTGAGGCTTCTTCTCCTTTCTTTAACTATGGATTTCCTTCTCCTGTTATTTTGTGACACATCTAGAAATACAGGAAGCAAAACAATCAGCAAAGAGCACCTGTCTCAATGTCTGCAGCAGGGACACATCCCCTGTGTCTGTGGGGAGAGCTATTTTAGTTCTTCTGTTTCTGATCATACCTGTGAGCTGAGAAATTCTTGGAGACAGGCCAAGCTGAGCACTTCCTGCCCAGGGCAGTGGTGCAGGTGCTGCCTGCCCTGCAGCCCAGCGTGTTTGGGTGCAGTTCCCTGTATTTAGGTGCTGTTCAGGCTGTGTGAGGCTGGCAGTGCCTGTACTTTAAGAATCCCTTTCCCTCCTGCACTTGTGTGGTGTTAGGGCTTGTCCTTTGCTGCATCCAGAATTTTCCTCAGCCCAGCTGGACTATGTCTCTGGTTTTCAGTGGTGGGGGTGAGGTCAGTAAGGGGCTGAGGCAAGTGAGTACAAGGTAGCACAGTGGAGGTGGGAGCTTGTCTAGAAATGGTGCTCCTGGTTCTTGCGGGAGAGAGACACTGACACTGCTCTTACACTTGAGGACCTCTCCTTTGGGATTTCAGTATTAACATCTCATCCTGCTTTTTTGGGGATCCTACTGTGGGCTTTAAAAAGCCTCTTGGAAGGACCTCTGTCAGGAGCAGGTAAGTCTTACAGAGCAGACCATGCTGAAGGCTTGACATTAGGGAGAAATTCTTCCCTGTGAGGGTGCTGAGGCACTGGCTCAGGTTGCCCAGAGAAGCTGTGGCTGCCCCATTCCTGGAAGTGTTCAAGGCCAGGTTGGACAGGGTTTGCAGCAACCTGGTCTAGTGGAAGGTGTCCCTGCCCACATCAGGGGGTTGGAATGAGATTAGCTGTAAGATCCTTTCCACCTAAACCCTTCTGTGCCTCTATGAAGAGGTGAGCAGCCAGGCACAGGCAGGTTGGGGGTGGTGAGGCTGGAGATGACTCACTCGTTTCGAAACAAGCCTCTCCCATGCAGGTGGCTGTCTGCCCTCCCAAACCTGTACTGTGTCCCTCCCACCATGCCTCGGAAGAGGAATCTGTGCCAGCTCCTGTTCAGAGCAAGCTGTTCCCGGGAAGAGGCCAGTCTGTTGTGGCTGTGTTAGAACTCGGGAGCTTCCCAACGAAGTGGACACTGCAGAGGCCACAGGGGACCCCAAGATGCTGCTCCCTCCTGGCATGCCTTGTGCCATGGGAACTACAGCTGCTCCCGGCTCAACCTGGGAATGTGTTTGTGCTGTTCCCACCCTAGAAGGTTGATCTGCCAAGACTCAGCTTGGAGAACCTGCTTCCATTCCCTCCTGTGGACTCCATGAGCAGCGTCCAGCCTGCCCTGGCTGGTACAGGGATGGCTGTTTGGGGATGCTGAGGGCTTGGCCGTGCTACCAGAGGGCTTGGCACGCTCCTCCCTGCACTGTGCTAATGCTCTTAGGCTGTGGCAGCAGCAGCCATGGTTTGAGCACAAACCCTCATTTCCCTGACTGTACCCAAAGCTGCTTAGGGGCCCTGTGAGCTCCACAGCTGCCACACACTCAGAAACACAGATTTAGCCCAGGGAATGTTTTATGAGGAAAGAGT